AAACGTAAGTTGATTAAATGCTCCAGTTAGAACACAAAGCTAGTCAGACTGAAGGAAAAATAGAAGCCCAGTTATATGTGGTTTGCAAGAGAAATAGCTAAAATACAAGGATGTAGAAACCCTGAGAGTAAAAAAGAAGATAACTACACTAATTGTAACCAAGGTAAACTTGCTATCTCTATACTAATGAAGTACGCTTTTAAGACAAAAATCCAAAGCCATAAAGAGGAATACTTCAAAGAGAAAATATTCAGTTCAGAACAAGATTCTTATTCTTAACATAGCCTCAAAATATGTGAAGCAAAATATTGATAGAATTACAATAAGAAACAGACAAAGCCACAATCAAGGTGAAAGATTTTAACACACTATTCTTCCAAATGAGCAAGCAAACAAAAAATTAGTAAGAATTTGAACCAAGCCATCAGCAAACTTGATGTAAATGAACATATGTAGGACACTGCACTTAAGGACTATAAAATAGACAATCTTTTCAAATGCATACATAACACTTATAATAATTGAACAAATTCTGAATCATAAAGCAAGTGTCCAAAGTTTCAAAGAACTTAAATAATGTGGGGTATATTTTCTGCCCCACCCCCATGCAATTAAGCAAGCAGTGAAATTCCTGTTCTCCAAAATTCAGAAATATCCTTCTAATTAACCATGGGTCAGAGAATAAATCACACTGGAAATTAGACCATAGTTTGACCTAAGCGGTAATGAAAACACCACATATCAAAACCCCTGAGCAGCAGCTAAGACACAATACTTAGAAATAACGCTGTCCCACAACTTCTGTACCTCCTCAGTTACCCGCTGGTCTTAACCCTGTGCTTTGTCAGCCATTTCCTTAAAAATGCACCGAGCTTTCATAAAACTGGCATTTTAGCATCATAGCATATCCTCTCTCAGTTTCTTTGTCCCGGTCCAGCTCCACTCTCTGCCCACCTTCATCAGCCATTGCGGACCAGGACCGTCCACAGGCTACAGCGAGTGGCAGGAAGAGGCCGTTCCCGTGAGTAAGGAGCCACAGTGGAGAACCCTCCTGAACGCATCGCGATGGCGCAGTGACGTCCCTTTGGCTGAGACGGGGGACTGTGTGGCACACGGACGCTGACGGTGGGAGTGTGGGGACAGTATCTCCAGTCCTGGCTTGAGTGTAAAAACGTATACACTAAGTAGACACTGAAAAGGATCACTTTACCTTTGTATCAGAAAAATGTTTTAGAGGCAGTATTATAAAGCATCGGTGCCCTACGGAGTGGTTTTAATCAGAGGCGGCACGTACTAGACGGAGTTCTAAAACACAGCTAATGTTAGCAGTGGTCCCACGCAAATGACTCCTGGGGACTCGTTAACGCAGGGATGTCCAACCCGTGGCCAGCACCCCACCGGCGGCCCAGGATGGCTATGGATGCAGCCCAACTCCAAATTGTCAATTTACTTAAAACCTTCTTTTTGCTCATCACTTTTCGTTGGTGTTTGTGTATTTAATGTGTGGCCCCAGACAAATCTTCTCCTTCCAGTGTGGCCCAGAGACACCAAAAGGTTGGACGCCCCTGCGGCAGTTTGTATAATATGGAAACACGTGTATGTGAGGCACAGCCTGCTCCTGTAGGAGATTCACCCAAGTGGGGTATTTTACAGCATGTATACAATATAAACATGTATTAGAGATATGTATACATTTTGCAAACATCCGATTTAATTTAGTAAAAATGTACTGAGCCCTCGCTATGTGCCAGACAATGGTCTAGAACACAAAGATGGATCAGGAGTAGACCCCGCCCTGGAGAAGTTCAGTGTGGGTAAGTGACGTACAGACTTATTCCCTCACTCCTTCTCGGCAAGGGTGTATGATTTCCAAGACCCAGGAGGGCCATTCATAAATGAATGGTTAGACCATTCATTTATGGTTTTAGCAACCACGTTGCTTCCAAAGTTATCATTTGGCCGGGGTTAGGTGGTACCTTACAATTGGGCTTTTCCTATTTTTTTTTCAATAAGCTTTCAGCTAAAAAAAAAATTACCCAAACCCTGCAACTAATCGAAATAATGAAATTATTGCTCCAAGTTTCTTCTATTTTGACAGATAGCAGAAAAAGTCACTTGTTCTATTTGGGCATGTAACAGCAAAGATCACTGCGGAAATCAGGTCATAGGAGACATTGTGGCTTTTGTGTTGGTGGTACACTCTCTCCCAGACAATGGGCTCTGGGAGGTCAGCTGCCCGGCTGTGAGCTGCGGGCGCAGGGCCCGGCGGAGAGCAGACGCCTGCAGCCAGTAGGACCCCGCGTGACCTGAAGTGTATCCATCAGCCCCAGCCAAGCCTCCGACTCATTTTAGCTATTTTTCATTAACATACATTATTATACTATCTGGTAGGTTTATGATTATTATTCTTTTTAAAAAACTCTTCACCTGAGGATATATTCATTGATTTTTTTTAGAGAGGGAGAGGAAGCGGGAGAGAGGAACATCAATCAGTTGCCTCCTGCATGCCCGGCGGACTGGGGACCAAACCCGAAACCTTTTGGGTGGACGACGCTCCAACCACTGAGCCACGCTGGCAAGGGCTGGTTGTTATTCTTAATGACTGAATAAATAAATAGTTTCCAATGTTCTCAGTTGTAATAGGAATAGATACAACCCACATAAGCAAAAACAGTTTGGGGACCTCAATCATTTCTAAAGAGTATAAAAATCTAAGTTCTAAGCAATTGCTGCAGTTAGTGTTAAGTTTTAATAACATATATGAACTTCAGATTGGCATATTTTATTACTTATGCTTTAAAACAGTATAAACTGCCAAGTATAATATTTTGTTTGGTATATGAGGATTTTAACTCATACTTAAAGTATTTTACCCAACAACCTGAGTATCTTTTTTTTTAAAGATTTTATTTATTTATTTTTAGAGAGGGAAGGGAGGGAGGGGGGGAGAGAGAGAGAGAGAGAGAGAAACATCAATGTGCAGTTGCTGGGGGTCATGGCCTGCAACCCAGGCATGTGTCCTGACTGGGAATCGAACCTGCAACACTTTGGTTCGCAGCCTGCACTCAATCCACTGAGCTACACCAGCCAGGGCACAACCTGAGTATCTTTAAAAAATGTAGCTTACTTTTAATTGTCTTAGAATGAAATAAGAAAGAAAATAATCATTAGTACTGATTATGAGAGAAAATAATTCTGTTCTGTAGGGGAGGGAGGTTAAAAGGAAGCAGCGGATGATGGCGACCATGTGACAGCTGCCACTCCCCCAGAAGGCTGGGGCAGCTGTGTCCCCGACACTTAGGACAATAGCGAGCACATAGTAGTGTTAGCAAATATTCATTGAATAAAATATTATGAGTAAAACGTCTCACACAATAAAAAAAACAACATTGGCTTTAGCCTCAAATACAGCTGAATTCCAATCTGCTCCCTCCAGTGCATTCCATGGGGAACTCCCTCAATTTCCACAGCTGTAGGGTAGACATAGTTAAGAGTACTTTCTTCAAAAGGCGGTGCGGTGAGCACTGCTGGAAAAATCGAGAACAGGCCCTACACAGAACATGAAAGTGCTCCATAGGGTAGGAAGGGAGTTTGCCACCCACCACTTACTGAGCTTATTGAAAAGCACTAAATCATTTCCCCGGGCAGGGTAGAGTGTATGGGGGCACCTCATCCTCTGCACACTGTGTACTTTTTTTAATGCTTATGAGCCATTTTCTCATGAACACGTTCTTGCATTTTCACAAGCTGACTTCCTTGTCAGTGTCAAATGATTGGAAAAGTCAACTGCCTTTCGAAAGATACAAAGAAAAGAAACCTTGGAGACAAAGAGGGACAAAATGTGTCTCTGGCCCTCCGTAGCTTATGAAAATTAAGGTAGGACCCCAAGTCTACCTTTTCCCCATGATTATGCTGTCTCGTCTTTGAAAGACAAGATCAGATGTATCCATCTCAAAAGCAGACTTTTTTTTAACAAAAAAAGAAAATTTAGAAGCAAAGGAAAGTTTACAAGAAGTTTCTTCAGAGGCCCTGTAAAGCAACCTTAAGATCGTAGAGATAACAGTGATTAAAACCCAGACTTTTGTGTAAGGTTCTAACTGTCTGATTGCGCAGGGAAAGCCAAACTGGACAAGCACTAAGGTGCTTTAAATTTATTGGCACCCGTTTCTAGCATGACGCAAGGATTCCTAGGGCGCCCATGCAGTAAGGCATGTGTGGTGGGTGGGGTGATGGCGGGGAACGAAACGGGAGGAAAGAAAGCCTTCGCCAGGGACATTGGGTGGGTGCGAGGGCTGCTCCCCTTGCCCTCTCTCCGTCTCGTCCTGTGCACGAGGTAGAACAGACCTCGCTTTAATGCTCCTGAAACATCATCTCACCATGTTTTCACTAGGTGACTTCCTCGCCGGTAAGAAAAGATTGTTCTACAAAGAAGAGAGAAACCTTGGGAATACAAAAACACAAGCTGTATTTCTGACCCGCCTAAGTAGTTCACAAACATTCAGGTAGACCTCCAAGGCTCCTTTCTCCCGTTAATTATTATGCCACTCCTTAGAGGCTCTTTGGAGCCCCTGAATGTGCCTGGACCTGAAGGTCGACTTCCCAAAACCCTGCCTGTTAGGGTATTGTCTGGAGCCACGGAAGGGACGCAGCCTCAGAGCCCGCGGGTGGGGGACCCACGCACCCGAGGCCATCCATCCCGACTGCAGGAAAGAGGACCGGAGCCTCCTGGTTCCAACGAGAGGCAACCTCCGCCTCCCTGTCGAATTTTTTAACTGGGAAACCAGTGTGCCCTGGGGGCACAGCAACGGCGCCCGCAGGCGCCGTGCCCTTCCCGCTGCCCCCACCTACGCGGGAGTGGGGCACGGTTTGGACTGAATTTGGAGACCAACTATCGCCTCCCCCCGCCCTGGCATCCGCAGACCCCACATCTGGCCACTCTCCGATGGCTCCGGGCTGGCCAGGTTTGACCTCCCACTTCTCTGTGCCCTGGTGACACTCACCCGTACAAGGTCATTTTGAATCAGGCCGCCTCGGACCAGGACCAGCACAGGCGGACAGAGCGGGGTGAGCTGGCGAGCCGGTGGAACAGAGCCCCGCAGCCACCCCGCAGACTGTCCGGTCCCAGCAACAACGCCGGCAAATTTTCTGGGAGCAGGGCAGGTGGAGGAGGCGTGCGAGTTTGGGTCGGTCCCCAAGTCCCACGTCACAAACACCCCACCACCCCGCCCACCTCCTGGTTCTGTCGGTGAGCCCAGCTTGGTGCCAGCCAGTCTGTCCAAACGTCTGCACCGTCTGGGGACGACCAGACCTCACAGCGAACAGCCCTGGAGAGCTGGGGAAGGGCGCGATGAAGATCACAGCCCCTGTTGTGTGAAACTAGGTCCCGGCTCGGCGCTAAACGCTTTATTTAGGTTGAGCCATTTATTCGTCACAACAGCCCTAGGAGGCGCATACGGCTCTTAGCCCCACTCTTAGGACAGGGAAACTGAGGCAAAGTGGGGGCGATCAGCTAGCAAGTGGAGCTGGGACTCCAACCGCGTCTGGGTGACTTGGAAGCGCGCGCGGCTAGTGGAGCACTTTCTGCCCGTCGGTCGCGGAGCCCCCAGCCCGCCCGGCCCCCCAGCACCGGAGGTCCCAGTCAGTACCAGGGGACCTCTCTGCGGAGGAGCGCAGGGATTCAGCGGTTTACCCAATCCTCTGAAAGGTCGGGGACTAGAGGGGCCGGCCAGGAACGCGGTCACGTGCCCCCTAGCGGACCCCGAGCCTCCGTTTCCCTTCTCCCTCCTCTGTCCCGAGCAAGTCGGCGCACCGCGCGCCCGGCCGCGGCAGTGCCGCTCCTGCGCTGTTCGCCAGACCTCCCAGCTTCCAGCGGCTTCTCGTCGGTGGGTAACCGGAGCTCTCTCTCCACCTTAAAAGAACAATAAAATCCCTGTGCCCACCTCTAGTCTCCTTACCACCACGGCCCCTTCCTTTCCTTTCCAGCTAAGCTGTGTTTACGGTCCACGAGCTTCTTCGCCTCACCTCGTTCCTTCCTCCACCACACCCCCCACACCCACCCCCTACTTGGGTTCACCAGGTTCGGCTGTTGCCCGCCTGCACACTTCACTTCAGCCCTTACTCCACCGAAATTGTGCTGGCAAAGGGCGCCGGGAGGGGAGCTGGAGTGGGTTGAACCCCATTAACAGGCCCCCGCAGCCACTTAATGCCTTTGTGCCTGGAAGAGTCTGGGGAATTTCTGATGAAGTTAGCATTTGCAGGAACCTTTTCACAAGCCAGGTGCGGTGTTGGGTGCTTTCCTGTGGCTCCTCTCAGGTGGGATTGTCTTGTAGTTTATCCTGACCCAGCCTAAGTCGCAAACGTGACATATTTTTAAAGTGGACAAAACAATGGCATGCAAAAATAACTGGCGTTTCTCTGTGTATACCGTAGGTACTTAATTAGACCCTGCTTTGTCCCCAAAAGAATTTAAGACAGAGATACATCACATACAAGGTGGTGTATAGTGAGAGAAATGAATCGAACCAAATAGGTCAGGAAAGTGAGCAGAAAGAGATGCCCCGAGGACCTGGGGCGGCCCAGATTCACCCTGCGCCTCTGGGCAGCCCGAGGAACAGAGAAACCTGCGGGCAGTGTGGGGGTGGGCGGGGGGGGGGGGCGCGGGGCGGGGGCTGCGGGCGCTGCTGCTCTCGAAGAGCAGCTGCAGATAACTGGGTTCTAGAAACAGCTCTAAGAGGGAGGTTATGCTTCCCTGGACAGCACTAGTCAGCAACGGATTGTACTTAACCATGTCCATGTAATAAAATGACCCCAGTGCTTACCAAGGGTTTCCGTGTACATTATCCCCCTTAATTCAACCCTCCAAGTGACACTGCGCGCTGCTTCACAACGTGAAGACCCAGGGTAGGAAAGTTTTCACGACTTGTTCAAACTTTTGTGGCCGGCGTCGGAGCTAGGACTCGCACCTGGGGGTTGTGTCCTTCAGGCCCGTGGGTGCTGGCCCCACGGTCCACCTGCCTCCCCAGCTCTCTCCAAATGGGAAAACACTGGTGACTTGGAGGTGGGGATGAGGTGAACCCGACCTTGTCTTCTGCCTTACGGAAGAATGGTAACCTGTGGGTTCAGGTCCAAGGTGAATTCCCTGTGATCGTGAGTTCCTCTCCCTGCCCTGAGAGTGACTGACAGGAAGGGAAAGTTGGCAAAGGGGGGATCTGGTAACACCGGTTCTCCGCGGCAGCCGTTCCGTGGTCCTTGGGAGTCAAGATGCAGAGCCAAGCCAAACGGAGCCCTCGGTGACCGAGAAGAAATGGCCTTTCAAGACTACCTGGAGCCCCGAGAGAGGCCAGCCTGTGCACAGACTCCCCAGGTGCTGTCTGGGGTCAGCCCACAGGTAGCTCCTCCCAGTGGCTGACCTCGAGCTTTTTCACTATGGCTGGTTACCGTTTTACCACTAGAACAAGACCTCCACTTCTCCCTGGGGTGAATGGGCTACTGACCCATTTCTGGCTGTCACTTCGACAAATCTGTCAGTTCTGTAATGTGAATCTCCGCTGTGCTGGATGAGCCCAGCCACGCTCAGCTGGCACCGGTGTCGCTGAGCCGAAAGAAAAATTAACTTTATCCTTAACAATCGGACTCTTGTCTACTTGTCCCTTGTGGAAGAAGCTCCTGGTGGCCCACAGGGAACTCAGCTGCATCACCTGAACATATCTGAGCTTTGTAACCCGGTCAGATTAAAACTGTGCTCTCAGCCAAGAGGAGGAACACTTAGGGAAGAAAGAAGCCAAACAAACGATTTCTAACACTCGACCCAAGTGCTTGTGCGTGGTGGCAACACCTGGGAGCCAAAGGAATGCAAGCATGTCCTGTTCACTTTTCTGTTAATACTCAGCCGAGGATATGCTTATTGATTTTAGAGAGAAAGGCAGGGAGAAAGAGATAGAGAAACATCAATGTGAGAGAGAAACACCGATTGGTCGCCTCCCGTATGCACTCCTACCAGGGATCAAACCCAAAACCTTTGGTGTACGAGATGCTCCAACCAACTGAGCCACCTGGCCAGGGCTGTTCTGTACACTTTTTTAAAAAAGATTTTCTTTATTTATTTTTAGAGAGGGAAGGGAGGGAGAAAGAGAGAGAGAGAGGGAGAGAAAGAGAAAGAGAGAGAAACATCAATGTGCAGTTGCTGGGGGCCGTGGCCTGCAACCCAGGCATGTGTGCTGACTGGGAATCGAACCTGCGATGCTTTGGTTCACAGCCCACACTCAATTCACTGAGCCACGCCAGCCAGGACTCTATACTGTATGGCTGTTCTGTAACTACCAATTTGTACTTCTTAATCCCTTTACCTTTTTCACCATCACCCCAATCCCTTCCCATCTGGCAACTGTCAAAATATTCTCTGTGTCTTGGAGTTTCAGTTCTGCTTGTTGTTGTTTTGTTCTGTTTCTTCAATTCCACATATAAGTGGAATCACATGGTACATGTCTGTCCGCGAGTCATTTCACAGCACAGTACGCTCTCGGCAGTGCACCCGTGTGGTTGAAGGTGGCAAGACTGCATTCTTTTTCCCAGCCGAGTCACATTCTGTTGTTTGTATGCGCCCCTTCTTCTTCACCCACTCATCTGTTGACGGACCCTTAGGTTCCATGTCTTGGCTGTTGTAAATGCTGCCGCAGTGAACATATGGACGTGTATGTCTTTTCAAGTTAGTGTTTTGGGTTTCTTCAGCTAAATACCCAGAAGTGGAATCGCTCGTCCTTTTTTGTCTCTTGTGATAGCCTTTGTTTCAAAATCTATTTTGTCTGGTATGAGTATGGCTGCCCCAGTTTTTTTGTTTGTTTGTTTCCGTTTTTATGAAACATCTTCCTCCATCCCTCCACCTTCGGTCTGTGTGTATCTTTCAATCTGAGGGGAGCCTCTTGGACAAAGCACGTGTAAGGGTCTTGTTTCGTTATCCATTCATTCACCACAAGTCCTTGACCTGGAGCACTTAATCTATCTGCACGTAAAGTCATTGTAATTGTTAATAGATATGTACTTACTACCATTTTATTATTTGTATTTTTAATCTTTTTTTTTCCTTCTTAAAGAAGAACCTTTAAGATTTCTAGTAATACCGGTTTGGTGATGATAAAATCTTTTAGCTTTTTCTTGTCTGGGAAGCTCTCTCTGTGCTTTGATCCTAAACGATAGCTTTGCTGTGTAGAGTGACCTTGGCTGTAGGTCCTGGCTTTTCATCCCTTGAAATATGTTTGTGCCAATCCCTTCTGGCCTGCAAAATTTCTGTTGGGAAATCAGCTGATGGTCTTAGGGAGCTTCCTTGTAGGTAACTAACTGCATTTCTCCTGGCAGGTGGCGGGTGTAATAAACCAGGGAACTTACACAAAGAGGCTTGCCTTGGGTGGCTACAAAATGAGTAGACCTTTGCATCACCCCCAGAATCTTAAAGTTTACATAAAGGCCTTAACTGTGGTCAGTCATGTGTACTGTCTAGATTGCCGCAACATCTTCCTTTCAGCTGTGTCCTCGGAACGGCTGCGTGAGAGCAGTGGGGTGGAGGATGATACATCCCAAGGACAGGATGGGGTGGGGAGCCCAGGTCCAGCCCAAGAGTCAACAAGCAGTTCTCTGATTACCTCTTGCAACACCTGGCTTACCAGAAACTCAAGGAAAAAAGGAAGTGGTGTCATTTGCTCAAGGGTAAGACTAAGCTAGCGGGTGCTGAGCTGCGCTGTCCAGGGAAGAAGGTCCTCAGCAGGTTGGGTTAGGGTCTCAGAGCCCTGAGGGCTGTTCAGGCTCTCCCATGCTGTTCCTTCTCCAAGAGAGACTCTTCCACACCCGCATGTTGCTTTTGTCTGGCTTTTATGTCTCTGCTTAAATGTCACTTCCTCCAAATGGCCCCTTTTAGACCAGGCCACATCCTTCTTTGGGTGTCCCAGTACTTTCTGGTCACGGTGCTGGTCAGAGTTTGCAATTGTGTAGGAAGGGGAATTGTGTGTGTTTGCTGCCTGCTTCCCGTGCTTCCTGAAAAGCTGTAGCACTTTGGCCTTGCCCTTGCTCTCCATCATATCTCTGGCATAGGGGCTGGCTCCTAGTTGGTATTCAAAACCTCTCTGCCAGAGAAAGGGATGGATGAATGTTATGGTACTGTCCGGTGCTCAGAACAATCTCGAGCCTTCGGTGTTGCATT